GGGCATTTCACGGGACAATCAAGGGTTCCTATCGAAACCACGATGCTGGCCGGAGCCGGGGTGAGTTGCTTAGCGCTGTAACCTATAGCAGGGGTGAGAGGCTTGGTAGAGCATGGTAGGGAATAAGACAATGTCTGAGGACTTCGAGGGTGTTAGGACCCTCTGACGCTTCAGAGTGTTTGAAGACAATTGCTGGGATTTTTGCTGGTGGATAGTCTCCCAAATTTACCTCAAATAGCATTGAATTTTGTTATAAAAAAAAAAGAGAATGTTTTAGGATTCTGGGGACTTCTAGCAACTCGCTTGAGGCTGTTTGATACTGAATCATTACTGATACGTTCATGGATCTGCGGTTGTTCGATGCCAGAACGACGCTGACCGGTGCTGGGGTGTTGCCCTGTAACCTGCTGATTGCAGGAGTGTGAGGCCTGGTAGAGAGATCTGGGGATGCTTTGGGGTCGGCATTCCAAGGGATAACCAAGGGTAGCTGTTGGGACGACGCTGGCGGGAGCTGGGGCGAGTCGTGTTGCTCTGTAACCTAGCCGGGTCGGGGTGTGAGGCCTGGGAGAGCTCGACAGGGAATAAGACAGTGTTGGCCAGTTTTAGAGAGTTTTGTTTGGGAGTCTATAGGGGTTCTGAGCATTCGAAAAGATGTCAGTAGTCATTCATAGTTTTTTAACCTCTCCTTTAATTCTCTTGAATTTCTTCAATAGTTCTCAGATTGATTCTCAGTTGAAGCCGGGTAATGCCCCCGGTATCTCAAACGACTTGTGTAACTCTATATGGGACAATGGGCCCGGTTCCCAGCACGTGCTGCTCCCCACAAATAGACTGGAGCATTTGTCCCATATAAAAAAAAAAGACACCTTGCAGTCCGTTTTTTTTTTTTTTTTTTTTTTTTTTTTTAAATCTTGCAGTCCGTTTTCGTTTCTCATTGGGCCCCAGGTGCTTCCTAGAAGGCCCAAAATTCGGGGGTTTTTGCCGCATCACTACTGGTCCAAATATGGCAAAACTGAATGGCAGTTTCCGATGAAAAATTCGTTTGGGCTTCCATTAACCGCTTCTCGTCCTACCCCGTACCTCTACCAGGCCTTCCCCAAGCCCAGAATTTTCCTTGTCGCCTTGTGGCGACAAGTTCATGTTTCTACAAGGCTGGGACCATGTACTAGCGGCTTAAAAGAAGGGATATAACTTCAGTACAGTCATAAAAACAGTTTGAAATTACACTTCAGGCATCCCCCCGAACATAGCACACCCCCATGCAACCCTACCTGACTGGAAAGCTAAACTTGTATACATTGCCTGAAGTGCAATTTGAAACTCTTTTTTGCCCAAAGTGTATTTTCAAACTCTTTTTGAGACTCCAGCGTAGTTTCCGGTTATTAAAAGAATTATTATCATTAAAAGAAAGAAAGAAAGAAAAAGAAAGCCCTTTTCTTACACCCAACAAATTTCATTCCTTGTCAAGTTTTTCGTGAGGCTGAGTGGCAAAGCCGCAAAAAACCATGTTTGGAGAGATGTGAGGCAAGGAGCGTACCACTATGCTTTTGTTATGTTAATCCGACTTAATCGGGTTAACCATATTTATTACCATCATAGGTCTTTGGGACTTTATTTGCTATTGATTCGCAAATCAACAGGGGGGAGGATCCCAAAGACAAGGGGGGTGAATGGGGTGGAGGAGGAAGCCTGTCCAGCTATTGCCTACTCCGCACTTCTCTTGTGATACGCAACCTCACACTCTGTGCAGCGTTTCGTACCCTTGGGGAGAGCTGATGAGAGTAGGTGTTGCATACTAGTGAATACATTCACCAAGTACGGGCAGAACCAAAGATCGACCAATATAGGATGAGCATATATGCAGCGGAAGTCTGAGATACGGACTGACTCACATAGACGGAACTTACCCAGACATCACTCAACACACAAGCAATCGTGAGATGGTGGGGTCTGAAGCCGTACATAGACGATGCTTCAGCCCCGTACACCCATACACAGATGAATGGTGGGAGGAGAGACGATGGAGGTGGGAGATAGGGACAGCGCCAGATGTCACCGAAATAGAATCCAGAATGTCACCGATATAGTAGCCCAAAATGTCACCGAACAAAATCAGAATGTGGTTGACATAAGTCACCAATGTCGGAGATACAGAATCCTAGTATAACCGATGTCCGATCTGTGAAAATTCACCGGCCTTGTTTACTTTTTTTCGAGCCTTCGAAAAAGAAAAGAAAAAATTGTTTTTGAGTAAGTTTTTTTGTTTGCCAAACATTTTCCAAGATTTGTCAACAAGTTTGATGCCGCCAGGTATCAATCCCAAATATCTCCAATGTCTCGAATCCGGAAAGTGTCACATCCGAATGTGACACTACCACCGAAGTCCAATCGCTGATCTCTGTCCATCTCGTGTCCAAAGTCTCTCATCTGAAGAAGAAGAAGAAGAAGAAGAAGAAGAAGAAGAAGAAGAAGAAGAAGAAGAAGAAGAAGAAGAAGAAGAAGAAGAAGAAGAAGAAGATCTGGGGAGGGCAGAGGAGAGGTGGAGATGGCGAAGTAGGGAGGAGGAGAGTCATCACTCCCGGATCCCGTACCCAGGCCCTTACCTGCAGGTGCAAGGAGGCGCCTTGGAGCTGTCGAAGACCTGAGGCTTCAACCTGGAGCTATGGCGCTACGCAGGTAAGCCTGTAAGTGCCCGTCTGCCATCTCTAATCGCCAGTCAGCGCTAATTAGCGCTGCTGTGCTCGGAGCTGCCCTGATCCAAAATTAGCGCAGCGCTGCTCCTCAACTGCTGCCGTTCCTCCAGAAGGTGGACCCCAAACGAAAAGATCCTGAACAGACCGTCGGTCGGTCCTAAGTACCAGCGGCGGCCTGTTCGGCCTTGAGGCTGCGGAAGTGCCTCGTGATCTGAACCGTCAGATTCCATATCCGATCTGCGGTTCAGATCAGACCCGGGGAGGGCAGCCTCAAAGCTGGCCGCCAGGTCCAAATGGTAATGCCGTTTGGACCGGTCCCCGTCTGGGCCTGTCTAAGGGCCTACGGGGTGGCCTGGAAAAGAAGGGGTCCGGCCCTTGGGCCGGACCGGCCTGGACTACTGTGTCCAGGCCCTAGGTAGCCCCTCGGTCCTGTCGTCAGGCCTGGCATGGCCCGTGTGTAATGCAGAATGTAACAGTAGGTGGGGTGTGGCTGTGGATATTAGGCAAGCGGGTTGAACCGCCGGGACGGAACGGGGGTTCTCGTGTCAGTTCAGAGTCTGAAGTTGTCCTTGCAGAAGACAAATTGCAGAAGGGATTGGGATCAAATTAGGAACCAATTCAAACCTGCCCCTAGGCCAGAGAAAAAAACACAGGGGAAAAAAGCGAGAGACCGAGCCCGGGAATACGGAAAAAGTTAAGTCTATGTTGTTTTGCCATTGGCGTGCACCACTCCACCCATCAGTTTCGTCACTATCGGACCCAGGCGGGGGGTTGGGGGGGGCATGGGGGCACCAAGACTCGGAAAAGAGGGTCCACATAGCAGGTGTGCACCTCGGTACCCCAACACAAACAGTCCCAACAACAACAACAACAACAACACAAACAGTCGCCACGAGCACGAATTGCAAAACTTACACCATTGGCAGTTATACTAGGGGTTCCACTTGGTCTGGGTAGCAGACCAGGGAAGTACCATCAGATCACTATATGCGAGGATCAATTGAGGGGACGCAAAACAGTCCACCAAAACAAAACCTTCCCCAACAAAATGGCCAGCCTTAGACGGATTATAGAAATGAAACCCGCTCGGTCCGTAAACCACCAGTAGTTGGCCCAGCTATCGTTGCCGAGCCTGGAAACCCCCTGCGCGCCAATTTTTGCCAAAGCGCCAGGGTACCGTTTCAATTTTTTTTGGCTGGTGTTTTGCGTAGCGTTAACGGCAACTGCCCACGGCCGATGTATGGGCGAAATACTGGTGGTTTAATAGCGTTCTTCCAGCACACATCACGAAAAGACATCGTCTTCGTCTGCCATGGGGAACTCGGGGAGACTGCTGTGGTGGATCGATGTTAAGGTCGAGCACGGGCAGCTGCCGGCGTTAAGCCTGGCTCACGTTTACAAGCATCGACTCCATATGCTCACAAGTTAAGCCCTGACTCGCTCTGCTAACATGCAAACCAAAATTGCATTGCAGAAAGAGTAATATAGAAAAGGAAATCGAAAGTACGATTGCAAAAAGGTTAAGAACTCAAGAGAGATATTTTCCAGTTCTACGCACACGATCATTTCCATCCATACATGCATGCAAAAGTGGTAAACACTCCCAACACTTCTTCACCATCATCGACTCATATGCAAGCAGAAAAGTAGAACGAGAGTGTCACGCATACATATTACATACGCGTAAGTACCTGCACTCATGGACTTCGACTAACTTCTGCATGACGGAGCAATCACACGCTTCATCAAACACTCACAACCTTTTTTTTTTTTGTTTAATTATAAGCCCAGGTTGTTGTAGAGGTCATACAACCTGGTTTTCAGCATGCACACCAAAACAGACAAGTGGCGATGGAGAAAAATGAAGTCCCTCACAACCTTTAAACATTATAAATATCACTGCCGCATGTGCGTGGTGCCAACTAGTAGTGACACTTTCTTTTTTTTTATGTTTTGTGCGAACAGAGAGACAGGCACCACAGAATGCGTCTATGCCAAAAACAAGTGCAGAGACTGTCGTCGTGGTATTGTTTTGTGTCCCAGGTTGTCTACCCTTGCCTCTGTCCCGGCCGCTCTCCCCCTCTCCCAATATGTTATGTCTTATATTGTCCGTTCCACATGGCAGGGCCGTAGTGCACCTTCTGACTTGCACAAGAGAGAGAGAGAGAGAGAGAGAGAGAGAGAGAGAGAGAGAGAGAGAGAGAGAGAGAGAGAGAGAAGNAGAGAGAGAGAGAGAGAGAGAGAGAGAGAGAGAGAGAGAGAGAGAGAGAGAGAGAGAGAGAGAGAGAAGCTGACGACCATCGTGCCTCGTGAACTGACATGTACCGACAACTGCTGGAAAGAGACTGGGTCCTGTACAGCACAAACACAAGTGAGTTGACCTGGTTTCTTATTGATGCACCAAATAACAGTGACTGCTGCATACTAGCAATCAAAAATCAAATGTGCACGTGTGCACACCCAACCACTTGCCCACATGCGCGTACCAACGGTCGCGAACACACACACACACACACTGCTGCCGAGTAGCGATCAGAAATGAGATCTGTGTGTGCACACCCACCCACTCGCCCACACACTTGCACTCTCTCTCTCTCTCTCTCTCTCTCTCTCTCTCTCTCTCTCTCTCTCTCTCTCTCTCTCTCTCTCTCTCTCTCTCTCTCTCTCTCTTGCTAATACTTTCACTTACACATCCACTGCCTTCACCAGTCAAACCACCACAACAATCCCTGTTTGCTCTCAGCTTCTCAGCTGTGCAGAACAATGCTGAGACCGGTGGCAATTGTCCTGGGAGCTAGTTAATAATAGTCGCAATTTATTATCTCCCTTCTAACAATATCTAGCAACATCAACCCCTTGACAAAACCCAAGAACCTCTTCTTTAAGAAACGACTGTGACTACCAGTCCCACTCATCCTAGGACACAAGTGCCACCTTAGCCTCTCTCTCTCTCTCTCTCTCTCTCTCTCTCTCTCTCTCTACGTTCTCTCTCTACGCTCTCTCCACAAATATGTGCAATTAACAAGACCAGAGTCAAGGGGACTGGCATCAGTGAAAACTGCCAACCTTTAAAAGAAGACAAACATGGAACAGGCATGACGCCAATCAGATGCCTTGAATCAGGACTTCCCAAACCATAGGTTAAGAGTTCGAATCCCTTTCGGTCAGCAAGGTCTAAACCTAAAGCAATCAGTATCCGGCGATCCGCTATGCATACCGTGCTCAGCCTGTAACAATCCATAAAGGTGGAAGAAAGGCCTGACGACGCTGACGTCTTTCCGATTGTTCCCCCTTAACGATCAAGTGCCTGCTCTCAACGGAGCAATAATCAGCACCGGCAATTCTGAAGGATTTAACTCGCGCAACTTTTTCAATTCGTCTCTATAATAACCAGTGTGAAAGAAAAACTCCTCTCCTCACACACCTTCTGTAACTTGTTCCACAACGCACTTAACAGACCGTCACCACAGAGCTATCTGCAACTCCAACCACAAGACAACTACAGAAGACCATTTCCAGATGCTACCATGCTATCATTGCCATTCATTCCAACCTAATGCTCCCCTTCTCCACCAATCTATTCTTACCTAGGAGACCCTGGAAGAGTGTAGGGTCTGCTCCTGATGGTGTGACGCCCGCTTTCTTTCAAATCTTTGTAGTGACCACCTCCCTTTCCAATTCCCGCTTACGCTACCCTCTACACCTCCTCCTCCTCCCTTTCAAATGCACGTCTCCACAAATCTAGTCTTACCCTACGAGATCCTTGAAGACTGAAGCGTCTGCTCCTGATGGTGTGGCGCCCGCTTGCTTTGTATCGGCCACCTTTTGCTGCACGGCCAGTTGCGGGTTGATTGCTCCCTCTTGAATTTCCGCTTCGCTAACCTCTATACCTCCTCCTCCTCCTCCTCCTCCTCCTCCCTTTCTCCACAAATCTAGTCTTACCCTAAGAGATCCTTGACAAGTGAAGTGTCTGCTCCTGATGGTATGACGCCCGCTTGCTTTGTATCGGCCACCTTTTGCTGCACCGCCAGTTGCGGGTTGATTGCTCCCTTTCAAATTTCCACTTCGCTAACCTCTATACCTCCTCCTCCTCCTCCTCCTCCTCCTCCTCCTCCTCCCTTTCTCTACAAATCTAGTCTTACCCGAAGAGATCCTTGAAGAGTGAAGGGTTTGCTCCTGATGGTGTGACGCCCGCTTTCTTCGTATTGACCACCTTTTGTTGTACCACCAGTTGAGGGTTGATTGGTCCCTTTCGAATTCCGGCTTCGCTACCCTCTACACCTCCTCCTCCTCCTCCTCCTCCTCCTCCTCCTCCCTTCCCTGCCATACCACTACTTCCCGTTCCCCCTATCTGGGAATGGAAGCCAGCTGACGGAGCACCCATCGTCGCTGTGACATCAAAGCCAACCCCTGATGCACCGGCGCTTGGCGGCGGCACATCTTGTAACAGGGACAGCAGGTCAAACGCTGAAGACGTGGGCGACACTGGAGGCACCGCAGCCCTCGCTTGTGGGACATGCTGAGATGGCGACGCCTGCGATGGGAGACCAGATCCTACAATCAGACTTTCAAACTGTTTGAAGGGGTCTGACGACGTGGAGGGAGCACGGTTTGAGCTGCTGACGTCCAGGTCAGATAGATCAAGCAAATCCACAAGGGGCTGAGGCTGTACCTTTGGTGGCGGAGGCTCAGCGGGCACTGGTCCTGGTGATGGCCCTGTCTGCTTCTGAGGTCCCGACACGGAACTCGGCTTTGATGCCTTTGGCGCAGCACGGGACCCTCCTCCTCGTGCACCTCCACTACCAGTTGCCCTCGACTCAAGTGCAGCGTCGGCCCTTGAACCGCTGCCAAACAGAGAAGCTGCTAGCCGCTGTTTCTCTTCTGAGATGACCACCTCCTTCTTCCCTTTCTCGCTCCCGTACGCGTAGCTTCTGCGATCGCTCACCCGCAACGATCCATACGGATCCCCACTGACAACTGCAATTGCATCATCCATTAAATGCATCTTCTGTTAGACAAACTTCACAGAGTCGCATGAAATACTATGAAATACTATGAAATACTATCAATGCTTTTTTTTTCAGATCGATACATTCATCCTGCTTCTTTTGCTTCTTTTCCCCCAGAACAAAAGAACAAAAGGGGGGGGAAAAAACCAGAAAGGCTGCCTCGATGTTTTACACAAAACCGAAGCTCAGATCGGAACCCCATTTCAATTTTTAGCCCGAAGTTGCTGAACACCATCACATTGAGATGTCAAGCTATCACCGCATCCCAGAGCTCAAGAAAACGTAAACGTCACCTCCTCCATGGAAAGTTGGAAACCGGTATAAGCGAAGCTCAAGACGGTGAAGTTATAACTAAGTTATAAGACAATTACAAGCTGCATAGCACCAAGCTCGCTTTCACTGACCGAACCGGAACGTTCGCGACCGAGCGAGGACGAGTGCCAAGACCCTCAGGCCGCAAACATTAAAAAAAAAAAAAAAAAAAAAAAAAAAACTTTCAGAAAAATCTGGAAAAAAATCATGTTATGACAGTACGTAAAATAATAATACAAATAACTTTAGCCAGAATGTAAAAAGCTTCTTTTAACGACGGCGGTTAGTACGCTACATTCTTCTCCCAAATCTTCCATCATCTTTCAAATTCTTTCAATTCACCTTCACTACCTGCCTATAGTACCTACCACTACTCCTAAGGCTGGGCCAAGCACTTTAGAAGAATTGAGGCAGCCTTTCTGGTTTTGTGTAGAACCAGACTGAGTCGAACTAGGGTCAAGCTCCAGAGGATCGGTCTTCTTTCCCCACCTATTCTTCTAAAACCTAAGGGCCTCGTTCAACACCACTTGAACTCAACAAGGGTTGAAGGAAAAGTCTCCGTTCGATCCCAACCTAACCTGGCCGCGGAGTTGTTTCTACTTTCCGGCTCTCTAGTGCTAGCCCTCGAAACTCAAGTGCCACTGGGGCAGCAAATTTGCACTTGAGCTCAAGAAACCTCTCCGGGGAGCCTTGAGTTCAAGTGCCAGCGGATACCGCCAGCACTCCAAGTGGGGCTTTCCTTTTGTTTTTCTTTTTTTCCAAAAGGCGATCCTGGTCCAGGATTGGTCAAGCCATGGAGTTCGGTTTCAAGTGCGGCCGTTTCAAGTATGGTAGATTGGGTTAGGGCGCACTTGAGACTCTAGGGTTCTCTAGTGGTGTCGAACGAGTCCCTAAAGCCCTTTTTGCAGGATGGTATTTTTTACTTGCACGCGAGGTTCGGGTTAGGGGCAAATTGGCTGTGGTTTTGCAGGATGGTAGATTGGGGCAGTTGTATATTTTCCTTGCACGTGCAAAACGAACCAGACTCCGGCTCTCCAGAATAGAACGACTGAGGACAATAAGGCTGTATTTCTAAGCCCTTTTTTTGATTCCGGAAGAAAAAAGGAAAAAGAAAGTGTGTGTCAAACTTTGTACAGTTCATGGACACATACATACCTGCACCGTTGCTGCTTGGTAGCCGCTCTCCTTCACTCGTCGACGATACATGTGACAACGAGTGTGAAGAAACTGTTGATTGTGAGTGGGAAGGCGATGGAGCGGATGGCTTGCCCCACTTCTTCTGGACATTACTCAAGTTCAGCTTCAGGTTTCCCTCAATGTCTCTACGGCCGTCATCGAGATGAAATCCTACTATTCCAGAGGCTTCTCCTCCCAAGGAACTCCCTCTCTGACTCCTGTCAGATGGTCCGTTCCCGGGTGCTGTTTCGAGCGATGATGCAGAGCCGCCCATCAGCAAAAGTGGTCCTGCTGAGCTTGAAGATGACGCTGCAGCCTGTGAAGGTGGGGGAGGCAATTCATAGGCCTCGAAACGGAGCGAGTGTCGTTGATGAGCAGCCTCCAGTGGATCAGCTCTCGAAACAACGAGTGCTGAAGCGAGTTGTCCACCCTTCCCCCGCTCACTCTCCGGAACATACGGTTCCGCACCCTTCTCGACTGCTTGAGTGACAAAGTCGTCAAGGAACGAAAGATTCACATCCACCTGTATAGACGTGAGCAAGATCAAGAAAGCAAAAAAAAAGGTTAGCCAAAAATTGGGAATGCTTCACAAAACATTTTTCGCACAAAAAAGAAAACAAGAAAAAAAAAGAAAAGAAGCCTATCCATTTCATGATTCATCTCTCGATCGGTGAAAAGGCTGCACCATCAGGAAAGGAACAGATGCACATCCAGCTCCATGAGTGAAGAAGATGACCCATACATGCAAGCGGACAACGTGCGGAAAATTCCGCACCTTTGGCGCATATTCGCTCAAAAAAAAGAAAGGGGTCGCATGGCTGGGTCAATGGTCACCTGGGACCACTTTAAAGATTTGTTCTGGGATGGAGGAAAAAAAAACAAAAAAACTAGAGGGAGGGTAATGCCGCTACCTAAAGGTCAAGACTGCTGTCCCGGACACCTTTTTTTTTTTTTTAGGCTATTTCTCATGCCCAATTGGACGGAAAGAAAAGTCTGTACGACTGTACTTGAAAAGATCAGTTCCTTAGGTGTTGCACTCTTCTGTATCTACAAAAACAGAAAAAAGGGAAACTGCCGCTTGTACGGCGCACGAGCAGGTGCCGGGCCGCACGCCGTGCGACGCACCGGACGGTACGGCGTGCGGTGCGGTTGTAAGTATGAGATGACCCAAACAGGGAAATGCTTTGCCAAATATGCATTAACAAAAACAGGTCACTGTGGTCGTTGAGCCGAGAGAAGGACAGCTTGAGGCGGTTAGTGTCTCCCTCGGAAAGGATGGTGGGAATAGTCGTCTATTATAAGGACTATACACGGCTTAGGCTACACACCCTTACGTGGATCCAAAGTTCCCCAAACCCAAAAAAAAAAGAAAAACAAAAGGAAAAAAACAAACACTCCATAATAGATTGTATCATGGGTTCAAATCCGATTTCCTCCGTTCCATCGTGGACGTACTTCAAGTGGTAGAAAGCATGTTCTGCGAGTATGACATCACCGGTTCAAGCCCATAGAAGGATTCTCTCTCTCAATCATGCAGAGCCTGCATATTGTGTATCTCATCTCCACGGCTCTCTGTGTCCCGTCCATGCTGTCAGTGTGCCTCTCAGTCTGCCACTCGTTTGCAAATATCCTCCTGTATCTCTTCTTTCGCTGCTGCCATCGCTTTCTCCATCCCTCACTGCCACCAAACCTGTTGTTCTCCTGGCCTGACACGGCGTTGCTCCGTCCCGTCCTGCTCTTTACGTGTGACCATCCTCGTTCAAACGACTCTGTCTATCTGTGACTAACCTGCATGACTGTTAAAAAATGATCGACGCCAAGACAACTCCTCCCCATTTTCCATGACAGCTCTCTACATGTCATCATTAGCCAGTGTGCAAAGGCAAGGCCCAAGCTCCACTGGGCCACAGGACTTGATTGAGAGCCTACTGGGCCCAGTTCCATTTCTTTGTTGATAATTCAAAGTCCAAATCTGATTAGAATCATCTGGAGATTAGCAATTAACACATGTCAAATCTTTGTTGCCCCCCAGAATGAATACGGAGCCAGGCCCATAAGGTCCTTTTTTTTTTTTCAATTTACGAAAGAATCATCTGGATATTAGTACCCCTGCAATCCATACTCGAGTAAAGCCTTTCGATAAGTCCATCTGGACATAACGCTATCTCTTTTTTGTTTCCCTTTGCTTTTTTTTTTTTTTTAAGTTACCAGGTTAATGTGTGTCATCCTTTCCGCAGGGGCCATGCTAATCTTCTCTGTATCGTTCGTTCCAATGTTTTAACGCTATCCATTGCGGCAGTAACATGTGAATCTTTCAGCATGTGTTCGTCAAACTTCATCCATACCTCAGCATTTGACCATGATCACTGCTGCATGCTGTCATAAAAGTTCATCGCACTTACTACTTCGCCGTCTCTGCTGCTGCATGCTGTCATCGAACTTCCGCAAGTTTTATATGACACTAGTAGATATTCGTCGACCGGAAAAGAAAAAAAAAGCAAGACATCATGAAACACATTCACAAAGAAACTTGCCGGTGGAATAGGAACCGGACTGACGCTCCCCAGAATGGAAATGGAACCAGGGCCATAAGGACCTGTTAAAAAATATATATGTATATATATCGTCACAAACAGAACTGCCTGGTAAACCGTAGGCAGAGAGAGAGAAGAGGACAACAAACGAGGGGCAGTGACAAACTGTTTCGTCGGAGTTTCACTGACTCATCAGGAGGCTGAACCATCAACAGTCTGCAGAATCCCCTCACTGATTACACTGTAAATGATAATCTACCAAAATCGAAGTAGACTATCACTCACCCACACCAGATGGAAAACTCTACAGACTGTCCGTTCACACCCCATCACAAGCCAGCAAAACATCCACGAACAGCATATATCGTCACAAACAGAACTGCCCGGTAAACCGTAGGCAGAGAGGGAGAAGAGGACAACAAACGAGGGGCTGTGACAAACTGTTTC